AAGCGGTTTAGCCAGCATTGAAGCTGTTTCCCTAGTATAGAAGAACGAACCATATACGGAACAGGAGAAGTGTCTTTTCTTAGGCGCTGCAGTTTCCGGGACACCAGGTCAGTGCTCAGGTCCAGTTGCAGATGGAGCTTTCATCAGTATAGGTTTTGTGGGTCAGCTGAAACGTCCGAGAGTATATTCCAGCCAGAAGGTTAGTGGCATCACCATCGTTATCGGTCGGGCCATTAGGATCTAGAAGCTGGGAAACTCCAGTTTTCGCTTGTCGAAGTGAGGCTTCATAACGAAATAAGCCTTTCGGATTGGAGACAAATTTATCGATAAGCTTTATCTGGTACCTAATCCTGTCTTCGTTTATTGCCGTCGCGCATATGTTCCTTATATTTTTGTACAGTCTGTATGGCTTGGCGAACTAAGAGTGTGGTCACTGGTGACTATAGGTTTCTCATAGGTATTGAGGACCATTTGAGGAACATACTGCTTTATAGTACATAGGATCGTGTGCACTAAGTAATCCGAATGTTCATCCACATCAAGTTGGGGGTGAACTTCCCAATCCACCTGCTGTCTAGCCACAAGCGCTCACCAAACAAATTACAGATCCACAGCTCTTAGCAGTAAACAGTAAATTTGTAACAATCCAGGGTGCTGCTCAACGGACTTTATTCGATATAAAAACTGAAACGTCAATACGCATACCCTGTTGAGTAACGAGGACTTTCGACAGACCTAACTTTTTCTCGCAGGTGCAGTAGGCAAGGACCAAACAATACGTAAAATATGAGAACATGATCTTCCGAAAAATCTGGCATTCAAATAGCAACAAAAGTAATGACTGCATAGTAAGCACCTCACAACTGAAAGCTACTTACTTACTAAATCCACCTCGATGTTATGTGATGTAAAATAATATACCAACTATGGCAAAATTGTCTTTGGAGTATACCTTGGAGTGGGTGCCTTGAGGAGCCTTTCCTGTTAGTATGGTGGGAAATTTTCCCATTGAATTTTGCAAATGCTTATTCGCATATGTTCAGAATATGGAAATATAGTGTCTCCTATTTTATTCCAAAAGAGCACGATTTATCTGGACCGTATCCAAAGACCAAACGAAAATTCAGTCCTTCAACCTAAATTCAAGCCTGTCGATGATCTACTGGAACCCCTGGATATTTTCTGTTTGGAATATAAGTTAGTAAGAGATGACTTTCTAATAAAATACTACAACCTAAACATTGAAAGTTTCAAAGGTTACACTTTGCTTTTTAGTCAATTAGATAGATGACGGAATTTGTTCGTATAAGTCATTATTAAACACATTGATATTCAAACAGTGACACACTCCACTTTCGGAAAGAAACTCGTCAAGGAGACCTCTGGACCGGGTTGTAGTTTCACTGCAACGGAGGTTCACTGGCAGTCTGTCCCACATGGTTGGGTAGCGAATAACAAAAGAATTCTGGCGTAAGTTTGTGTAGGTTCTTGAAATCGTCATAACATTTTTCTTATCGCGTAGATTGTGGGAGGATATGATAGAGTATGAAGGGGTAGATACTGAAGAATAGGAAATACCGTTAATAATCCGGTAGATAAGGACAAGGTTTAATTTTATACGTCTGATCCAGAGAGATTCTGATTTGAGTTGTTGACATCTTTGTTGATAATCCTTGTTTTCGGAATACCCCAAAACAGCTTCGATGATCCTCCTTTGAAAACCTTCAACTTCAATCAGGTCATTATACCTGCAACTACTACAAACCAAAATACCACATTAAAGGATGGGTAAGATACATATTCTGCATAATAATAATAATCTTGATTCAATATTATTGAAGTTTATCATTATGAATCCAATGAGCTTTCTAGCTTTGGATACTTGAGATGCAATGTGTTCAGAAAAGATCAAAATGTTGCTATATCTTAAACCCAAGTCACGAAAAGTGTTGAGAGGTTTCAGAATATGTTTGTGTAGAGCCAGATTTAGGTTAAGGCAGCGGCCAATGTGAATATATCCACTTTTGCCAAAATTAAGTGGCAGATTCCACGAAACAGTCCAATCGTAAAACTTGATTATTTCTTGTTGCATTAACGCTGAAATATATCTTTCTTTGGTAGGACAAGAGGACGAACAAACCACTTTTAGAACAGATTATTCAGACCACCAAGCTATGAGCACATCGAGCAAATTTGAAACAGAGAGGCGGATGAGTGAGTCGGCGAGTCAATGAACAGGATTAAAATGTATATATATAGTGAAATTAATGAGTCATCGACTAGTAGTAAAGCTAGCAGAACGAATATATGTGTAGGCAGTAAGCAATGCTGAAGCATACATATTCATACATTCGCAACAATGATAGAGGTAGAATGATATCGGTAAGTTTGTACGGATGACTCAGTCCGTTAAAGTAGTCAACAAAAACGCTTAATCGAATTAAATGTAAACTCGATTGCACGTGACCTCCTATAAAGTAAAACTGCTCTCACCGACGCGCTGTAGATCCGAACTTTTACAGCCAGACTAACATCACGAAGGCGCCAAAGATGGCCCAGATTAGCATAAGCCGCTCTGGCTTTCACTATACATGCAATGACCTCATCACTCACGCCACCACCAGCACTTATGCAGCTACCCAGATACACGAACTTCTCGACTACTTCCATCTGCTCACCATCCAGGGTGAGTACAGGATTAGAATCCTGCCAGTCTTGTAGAAGTACTTTGCACTTCGAAGGTGCATAGCACATACCATACCTATGGACACTGATTGCCAACTGATTAAGTGCGGATTGCATGGCTTGGGCATTATCGCACAGTAAGACAATATCATCCGTATATTGAAGGCCGAGAAGTCTTTCTCTAGACAACAGATCCACACCGGTATTACTTACATCCATCAGAGCTGTTTCCAGCATGTCATCGATGGCAAAGTTGGAGAGGAATGGTGAGATTGGGCAACCCTGTCTAACCCCACTGCTCAAATGGAACAATGGAGAGAGGTGGTTGTATGCCCTCACTCTCCCTGAGGTGTTTGCATATAGAGCTTTTAGGATGTTAATAAACTTCTCAGGCACATCCTTCTTCAATAGACAATCCCAGAGAACAGTCCTGTCCAACGAATCGAAGGCAGCCGTGATGTCAAGAAATACTACGACTGTTGGCCTTTGATAAGTTGTGGTGGACCAGACAATATATAAAAGCAAAAGATATCAACAAAGTTAATAACAACCAATAGTATTATTAATATATAGAAGTTAAATGTTACAAATACAATAAATAATGGGACTTTACTTAAGTTCACCCAAAATGATGCTTGTTCGGCTTTGATCTGGTACAATAAATCCACAATTATAGATGCTTAGTAATTCCAAACGTATCGATGATCTCCTCAGTATTGTAATCCAAAGTAAGATATGATGTATTCACTTTCTCAATCTATGAATGTAAATAATATTTGTTTTAGAACTAAGTTAACTCAATCTCGAATGAAAACAGAACGAGGGATGTGTGAGTATTAATGTATTTGTTAGCCAGAAAGAATATGTTACGCTATGTTGGAATCACAACGGAAAGTGTCTTCAAAGTCATTGACTAAAACAACATGTACAGTCATTTAATGATGAATGTACATACAGTGAAAAATTGACAAAACAAATACAAATAATATTAAAAACTATTTACAAAATAAGCTTGTCGGTCATACCTCCACAAAGTATGACGGTGTTCCAACATTTGACGGAGAGTGAAGATATGATCAATACATCCTCGACCGGAACGGAACCCAGCCTGCTCCTCTTGAGTCAATCTTTCTCGGGTTTTGAACAACCTACTAAGTACGATAGGAGCCAATAGTTTGGACGCAATCGGAAGTAGACTTGTTCCCCGATAGTTGTTACAGAAAAGACGTGGAGCATTTCAAAGATTGGGCCAATTATCGACTCATTCTGGAACATAGCCAATCCTATCAATTGTCCAATCTGCATTAATGTGTGAACGTTTTAGGAGGCCAGTTTGAATAGCATACGTGGTTTCTGAATGTTTCAGTATTCGTAATCGCTGGTAGCGTTCAAGTTTTCACCATGGAAGTTCTGCCATATGTATTGAAAAACCACATACGCGAAACGAGCATTAATGACGTAGTATATAAAATAAAAACGAATGTTATTAAATGATTGTGAGTAAGATTTGTCTAAATGAGAGTTAAAGCAAAAAGTCTTCCCGTTGGTAGTCAACGATTGGTTTGTGTGAGATCTGGAATGCTACCCAGATGCTCAAATCGAAGCAGGTGGTTTCCTTAAACGGCCACAACCCTAGTCTTCAACCTAAAGGTCTAATCCATAAGTCAGTGGGGCAAAGTCGAGAGACACGGTCCCATAGTAGCCGGTGATCAACAATAGCTTCACATGCCATTTGCTCCCTCAAGGTTCTTGAGCTTGTGGGTACCATTGGTTTGAAATCAGGGTCATCCAAACCCCTTAGGTGGATCCTCCATATACGCACCGGACATTCGCTTTTCTTCCTCTAAATTTCTTAAAAAACAACCCGGTCGCAATGAGGTGGCGAGTAGGACTTCCCTGGTAGTAGCAATATACACACGATCATGTGGAGAGCATTTCGAGAGGGAGAGCTAACTCTCTCCACCCTCGGTCATACCTGTGCATACACGGAAATTAGAAGTACACTATAGCGAACGTGATTGTAGGAATAATTTCTAATTTTTGTTGACGGTTAGGTCTATGGGTTTGCCACCGTCTGAAGTGGTTCAATCAACTTCACAGGCGTTCTTCAAAAAGAAACCTGATTTGTTCTTAAAAATTTAGGACGAGGTGTTTCTTTAACCTCTGTTTCTTTTACATACCCAAATCCCTGCCTTAATTCCTTGGCGACTCATCGTTGCAGTACGAGGAAGCTCGATTAACGAAAGCTGCTTTGTTCATAACCATTTGAACTATGTGAGATTTGTCCTTGAGGGGTCGTGGTACATTTAAACCCGATGGCATCGTGGGAGGATCAATTGGGTCCAAATGGTTCTGTTACTACCAAGTTATCTCAGTTGGATGTAAATGCACCAGAGTTTATACCTGGTCAGCCATTTTACTACAAACCTACGGAAGTGATTTCTTGTGATACGGAAAGTGAACCATCTACCCAAACCGTAAAATTCATTAATGTGCTTGATGAAGGTAAGTATTTATACATCTTAAATTAATGGTATTTTCAGAAACAGAAGCTGGACCTGAAAAAGATGAAGACCTCCCCAAAAATGTACGCACTTTTTTAATCTCATACTAGTTTCCTAGACCATAGCTATCGCTCCGGACAAAGACACACTTAATTTGGTATTTATTGGACATGTCGATGCTGGAAAATCAACAATTGGAGGTCACCTACTGTACCTGACAGGTTCGATGAATTTTGATTGTGTATCCATAGTTTGTAGATATGGTAGACAAAAGAACTCTGGAGAAGTATGAGCGTGAAGCAAGAGAAAAAAATCGAGAGAGTTGGTATTTGTCATGGGCTCTGGATACAAACCCTGAGGAACGCGATAAAGGTAAAACGGTTGAATGTGGTCGAGCCTACTTCGAAACCTCTAAAAAACGATTTGTCTTAATTGATGCTCCTGGTCACAAATCCTTCGTACCCAACATGATATCAGGTGCAGCAATTGCCGATATCGCCATACTTGTGATATCGGCTAGGCGTGGTGAATTCGAAACAGGGTTTGACAAAGGCGGACAAACCAGAGAGCACGCTTTGTTAGTGAGAACTACCGGTGTTAAACACTTAATTGTGTTAGTCAATAAAATGGATGATCCAACCGTTTTGTGGGATGAAACTCGTTACATGGAATGCAAGGACAAGATTTTACCATATTTAAAGAAGATAGGGTTTGACATAAAGAATGACGTATATTGTATGCCGTGCTCAGGATATAATGGAGCGTTTCTTCGAGATATTCCAGACGAATCAGTATGCTCGTGGTATAGAGGTCCTAGTTTACTGGAGCACCTCGATAATCTCCCCAGCTTTCTACGGAATACGGACGGCCCTTTAAGATTTACCGTCACCGACAGATACAAAGAAATGGGTACATTTGCCTCTGGAAAAGTTGAATCTGGATCAGTATCGAAAGGCCAAACGATTGTATTATTACCCAATAAATTGAACGTGGAAGTTATGCAGGTAAACCTCATTGCATTATACATAAATTATACAAACATGGAGTCTAAACTGTGCAGATAGTATCATCTTAAAGTGATTACAGAAATAGCGGTAGTCCTAAAAACCCACACAATGTTTAGTATTGTGATACAGTGACTAATTTATTGCACATCACGTGTCGCTTCGGTAAGTGATACCAACTTGAAATTCATCCTTCTATTCATGCTTCGACCATTGTCAAGCCGATTCGCTACTCGTTTGTGTTCGTTTCTTAGTTCAATAAACTTTATTTCGCAACTCATCTTTGAATCCAGATCCTCAGGAAGACCCTTTAATTTTCTGGAATGTATTTGATGTTAAGGTTATTAAATTGGTGAACAGCAATTACGACTAAGTTCCCTTAATAAAAGCGATCTTTATTTATGAATATCCCTGGTTTCTAAAATATATTCATCTTCACAGAAAATGCTAATACTTAATCCGGATAATCGTTTTGCGCTGTTAAATATAATATTAGGTCATAAAAATCATTTACATGTTTTGAGTGTTAGGCAACCACATTTAAAACATGTATTACCTGTTTATAATAAGTATAAATCAGCAGAAGCGCTGTGCTTCATACTTCCCAAACTTTACACTCTGTGCAAATGCCGTGGTACGACCGAGGGTGATGAGAGTTAGCTTTTCCTCTCTAAATGCTCTGACATGATCATCCGTATATATCCGCCGCCAAAGAAGTCCCACTCACTGCCTTTTGGCGACCGGGGTGTTGTTTACGAAATTGAGAGGACCAATGGCGTCCATAGGATCCAGGATTCTGAGAGAATAAATAGTGTACGACCCAATTATTGATCACCGGCTGCCATGGAACTGCATCTCTTAACTTTGCTCCATTGACTTATGAATTAGATCTCTAGGTCGAAGACTTGGGTTGTGACTTCTTAAGAAAACCACCTGCTTCGGTTTGGACACCTGGGCAGTATTTCAGCCCCACACATGGAATACAGAAATGTGGTGCACATATTATTGGTGCCTCGTTGTACCAATTTCTGCATGTTTAAATAAGTAAACTGCAAATGAGAAGTATTGATATGAGTTAAGTATAGGTATGGGTTAGAATATCTTTTTTTCCTCGCTATTCAAATTTGTAATAATTCAAAGTCATGTATATGTGTATAAACATCAGAATTTTGTATAAATAAGAATAATTATTAACCAGGGTTCTTAAACAACAATTAAAAAATTCAACAAATAAAATGTCACCAAATCAACTCGTATCGTTTCTAGCGCCGTATTTATAAATTTTTGGTTGTTTTGTAAAGGATTTAAAAATAACATGTTAAAAGTGGATACTAAAGTATCCCCTAGTGTCTATTATAACTATAGATAAACAGTAATTTCCTTAGGCCCAAAATTTCATACAACCGTATTACAGTTACACATGCTATAAAACCAGTTTTAAAGAAAATAATTTATAACATTAAACTTAGTTTCCATGTAGGATTTAATATTTGATGTTTTACTCTGTTTTATTGGTAACCACTTATTTTTAAAAGCCTGACAGACTTACAAATTATATCTAGTTAAATGTGTTTGTCTTTCCAAATTTCATCGGTAACATTCGACACTCGACAAAATGTTTATTTTGTGTTACTTTACCCTAAGTTCAAATTTATCTGATTTTAAAGGTGTATATCGGAGATGTGGAAGTCAATTGTGCTTCTGCTGGAGAACATTGTAAGTTAAAACTGAGGAATATTGACGAGGAAGATATCAATCCTGGTTTTTGTTTTTGTTCCCCGAATAATTTCTGCCAGGTAATTATTTTTTTCTTTAAATAAATCCTTTTGTTCAGAGCATATAAAACCAATTATCACGATTTATTTATTTATTTATTTGAACACATAAATATTGGTACAAGAGGGCGCCAAATATATATGCGCCACACAAAACAATGAGGATTTAAAGACAAGGAAAAAGAAAACAAAGGTAAGGAGGGTAAAAAAAGAATAATAAGGAAGAGATTGGTGTAAGGTAGTGTAATAATAGAAGTGGTAATAATGGGGGAACGGAAAGGTACAATCAGAAGAAATCCTTCAGTTAAGGAAGATACAACCATTATTTTTTATGAAGAAAGTAAAAAAAGGTTACAGCAGGATCGCCACTGGCTTCTATTCTGAGCCATATCTGATAACGTCTCTAGCCACTGTGTTGCGCTATCTCTCAGACCCCAGCCAGGGAGTCGTAAAGGACCGACAGAAGTCAGCCCTTTGCAGCTTTCTTTCATGCCACGATACCATGTTATACACTGACCACCTCTCCGCTTTTTCCAACCAGTCCCGGAGTCGGCAAATAATGCACGACGTGGAATTCTCTGGGACGACATTCGTAGAACATGTCCAAGCCACCGAAGTCGGTGTTTCAAGATGGTGACACCAATTGCATTATCGTCTCTGTGCCCGAACACATGATGCCGAACCTCTGCATTACTAACATGGTGTTGACACTGGATGTCAGCAATCCTTCGGAGACAACGATGATCGAACACAGAGAGTCTTCTAACGTCCTCAACTCGGAGAGGCCAGGTTTCACAAGCATGGGGCGAAACTGCTCTCACCGACGCGCTGTAGATCCGAACTTTTACAGCCAGACTAACATCACGAAGGCGCCAAAGATGGCCCAGATTAGCATAAGCCGCTCTGGCTTTCACTATACATGCAATGACCTCATCACTCACGCCACCACCAGCACTTATGCAGCTACCCAGATACACGAACTTCTCGACTACTTCCATCTGCTCACCATCCAGGGTGAGTACAGGATTAGAATCCTGCCAGTCTTGTAGAAGTACTTTGCACTTCGAAGGTGCATAGCACATACCATACCTATGGACACTGATTGCCAACTGATTAAGTGCGGATTGCATGGCTTGGGCATTATCGCACAGTAAGACAATATCATCCGTATATTGAAGGCCGAGAAGTCTTTCTCTAGACAACAGATCCACACCGGTATTACTTACATCCATCAGAGCTGTTTCCAGCATGTCATCGATGGCAAAGTTGGAGAGGAATGGTGAGATTGGGCAACCCTGTCTAACCCCACTGCTCAAATGGAACAATGGAGAGAGGTGGTTGTATGCCCTCACTCTCCCTGAGGTGTTTGCATATAGAGCTTTTAGGATGTTAATAAACTTCTCAGGCACATCCTTCTTCAATAGACAATCCCAGAGAACAGTCCTGTCCAACGAATCGAAGGCAGCCGTGATGTCAAGAGACTACGATTGTTGGCGTTTGATAAGTATGACGGTGTTCCAACATTTGACGGAGAGTGAAGATATGATCAATACATCCTCGACCGGAACGGAACCCAGCCTGCTCCTCTTGAGTCAATCTTTCTCGGGTTTTGAACAACCTACTAAGTACGATAGGAGCCAATAGTTTGGACGCAATCGGAAGTAGACTTGTTCCCCGATAGTTGTTACAGAAAAGACATGGAGCATTGCAAAGATTGGGCCAATTATCGACTCATTCTGGAACATAACCAATCCTATCAATTGTTCAATCTGCATTAATGTGTGAACGTTTTAGGAGACCTTCCTCTGTCCACTTAATATACTATTCGATGATTATCAAAGATATAGCCTGAATCACTGTTTCACTTAACACCGGTCTTTCTCATCTAGCTGATTTAAAAAAGGCTTAAAAGACCATTTCTGAACTGTTCTATTATAAACGCTTTTTCTCCCAAACGGTACGGTACTTATTGTTCAAAAACCACATGGATGTCGGTAATATAATTATAATACTAACCTCCATGGATTTAGATAGGAATACGTATTTAATTGTTCCACTATATATACTAAAAAGATTTAAAACCCTAGAAAACCAGTATATTTGTTCTTTTGCGTATTACAGGTTTCAAATCTATTTGATGCACATCTACTGATTATGCAGTATGACTCTATCATTTCTTCAGGGTTTATGGCTGTGCTTCATATTCACACATGTATGAAAGAAGTATCCATTCGTAAGATCATCTGTCTATTAGACAAAAAGACTAATGAAAAAACGAAAATATATCCCAGGTTTATCAAAGCGGGTGATGCTGCTATTGTACGATTTGAGGTGAGTAATAATACACATATCTATGAAGATAAAATATTATTTTCATTAATCGTATTCTGTACATTTGATATATGATTCCATGAAAAATAATATGTTTTCGTTGTTTAATGATCCCTTCCTCCTTGTAGCATTCAGGTTTACTCCTGAGATTTTTAAGGATGGTGGTCCAGTATTAGCAATGAGATTAACCGAGGTCTTAGGTAGAATTTGGGAACTGGACGTAATCCCATCTGACTGGTCTCAATCACTGATTGTGCCAGTCTATAAGAAAGGACAAAAGTCCTCTTGTGACAATCACAGAGGAATCAGTTTGACTGATATAGTGTCTAAAATATTAGCTTCAATAATACTTCGACGCCTAATCAAAGCTCATGAAGAGCAGATTAGAGAAAACCAGGCCAGTTTTCGACCTGGACGTGGTTGTATAGACCACATATTCACACTACGTCAGGTTCTAGAACACACACACATTCAGACGCCCCACAATAGTCTTATTTCTCGACCTTAAGGCGGCATTCGACTCTGTTGATCGTGAGGTTCTATGGCAGTGTTTGTCACTGAAAGGAGTGCCAAAGAAGTACATTAACCTTATAAAGGCTCTCTACTCGAACACAACTGGTAGAGTGAGAGCTTATGGCGAACTGTCATCAGAATTGATTACCTCAAGTGGTGTTCGTCAGGGCTGTCCACTCTCTCCATGTAGGTAGGTGTAGACTACCTGGTTGGGGACCACGAAATGATAGCAACCGATGGTTAGAGACCTTGAATGACATGGCTCAAAATCGTTTGCAATGGCACAGGTGCATCCACTCTTTATGTTCTCCCAAATTCTAATCTTCTGAATTCTTCATGTCCCTTTTTTCCTCTTTCCAAATTTATTTCACTGGATTATACTCTTTAAATAACATCTCCAAACCCTAATCTTCCCGACTACTGTTTATACACTTACTACCTCTACCACTACAGGATTTGAATCGACAACTGCATGTCTGTGCTGGTGTGGTGTGGCAACTCGAACTGATGTACGTACGTACGAAGTTCTACGTTGTTACTGACTGACTGATTCAAAAGTAATCTTTTTTATGATTTTAAGCTATGAAAAACTGTTCGCGATTTACTAGCGTAGTTGGATTCTCGGAACACACAGTGGACCATGGACTATAAGATATTCACTCTTAATTACCTCATATTGAACAATAGTTTACAAATTGAATGACTATCTTCACATTCAACTAACTGTTGAATGCTGTAATTCAAAAATTATGCAACAGTTGTCGATAGGCAAAAGTGAAATATGTTTTTTTCTGCAGATCCACTTCTTTTTCGATGTTTATATGAAACATAATATTCACAATATTAATGAGCTTTAAATTGAGTCAATGCTATGAATATCATATGCTGTAAGAAAAAGTAAATAGTCTTTTCCAATAACAGTTGTTTTTATATTGAATTTATGTATTTGGCATCCAATTAAACCTAGTCTATTTCGTTATCTGACGATACATTATTGTAGGTTTTCATTCTTAGAACATTAGAAATTTATGTATGTCAGTTCATCATGTATTCATATTGCTTAAAAGATTAGTTTGACACTTAATGAATAACATCTAGGAAGCGACGCATTATGTCTTCTGTATTTTAGCCCCCAAATGCCCTGGTATGGCCGAGAGCGGGGTGGGTTCGCCCTCCCTCTCGAAATACTCTCACACGGCCACGCGTATACAACCTCTGCCAGGGAAGTCCTACTCACTGCCTTCTCGTGGTGGGGGTGTTGTTTACGAAAATGAGAGGACGAAAAGCGGATGTCCGGCGCTGTAACCTGGATCCCAAACCAGTGGTGCATATGGGCTCCCGTATCCTGCGGGAACAAATGGCCTATGAACCAATTCCTTGGTCACCGGCTACCATGGGACTGCATCTCCTCACGATGCTCCACTGCCTTGTGGGTTAGACCTTCAGGTCAAGGACTCGGGGTGTGGCCCCCTAAGAAAACCACCTGCTTCGGTTTGGGCACCCGGGCAGTATCTCAACCTGCACACAAAAACATGATAAACCATCTACTTATGAAAAATATTCCTCTCGCTCCAAATAACAATCAAGTGACTCGCATTATTATTATTACTATTATCATTATCATTATTACTATTATTATTATTATTTACTACATCATTATTCCCACTCTGTTTATACTTAGTTTTTCGACTTATACAGCAACTCGTCTATGGTGGAAACTCGGTTCTCTCTAAACGTTCTCGAGTCACTGCCTGGTTGAAAATTGTATGTTGTTTTTCTGAAACCACGTGCGCCACTCAAACTGACTGCCTCCAACGTTCGCACACTTATGGAAGTCGGACAACAGATAGGGCTGGCTATGTCTGTGGAAAGTCTTAATATCGATGTATGCTGTCTATCCGAGACCCGTATTCAAGACTCTGGTGAAGTACTACAAATTCGCTCTTCATCTGTTGCTTCGAAAAGCTTGTTTACGTGCACTTATCCGGGGACCCTGTGGCATCTTCGTCTAGTCTTGCTGGCGTTGGTGTCGCACTAAGCGCTAGAGCTGAGGCAGCACTAATCGATTGGATCCCCATTAAAAGTCGGTTATGTGCTGTTAGATCAGAAAGTTCCATCAAAGTGAGAAGAAATCGACGTGAGAAACAATGTCTTTCCGTCATCGCCTATGCTCCGACAGATTGCAGCCCGTATGCAATCAAGGATGAATTCTACCACCATTTAACTGTTCTTCACCAGAAAATGCGTTCGACAGACATTGTAGTACTAGCCGGAGACTTGAATGCCCAGGTCGGGCGTCTAGGCACAGAAGAGAGTCGTTTAGGTGGCCGATGGGGACTCGCTGGTCGCAGGACAGATAACGGGGACCGTCTACTGCAACTGTGCACAGACCACAACTTGTTTCTGGCTAGCACTTACTTTCGGCACAGTCATCGCCGATGTGCCACCTGGCGTCCTCCTTCTGCATCTCAAGCCTGGACTCAGATTGATCACATCGTGATCAGCTACCGCTGGCGTGGTTGTGTACAAGAATGCCGCTCCTTTTGGAGTACCTATCTGGACTCTGATCATGCCCTGGTCTGCGCCAGCCTCACCTTACTTTTCAGTGGCCAACGGATTGATGTCAGGAAGTTGATTGCAACTTCTGTTGCAAGTAAGTATCGAACCGAGCTAGTTTCTAGGCTAGCTACCATTCCATCGAAAAGTATAGATGAGCATTAGTTGCAATTGCATGACGCCATGAAAATGGCGGGTACAGTCAGTTGTGGGTTCGCGCAACGTCCCGCTTATAAGCATTGGGTTTCTTCAGGTTCCTTACAACTCATTGAAGCCCGTCGGTCTACTCCGGGTAACCGTGAGTTTGACCATAAACGAAGGATGTTACGTAGCGAAATTGGGCAAAGCTTGCGTAAGGACCGAGAAGCCTGGTGGTCGGAGCGTGCTAATGAGCTGGAAGCAGCAGCTGCATGTGGTAACTACTGGAAGCTCTTCCAACTCATCCGAGCCACTGGCAGCAAGAAGTCAGGTGTGAGCGAAACAATCTGCGAGAATGATGGGATGCCAATCTCTAACATCCATCGACGTTTTGGATGATGGGCAGAATTGAAGCGTTACAAATCACCTGGCCCAGATGACTTACCTCAGGCTCTTTCTAAAGATGGTGGTGACTTTCTGACTAAGAAACTGACGACGTTGTTTACAAAGATATGGGAACTAGAGAGTGTACCAACGTCATGGAATGAGTCGATATTTGTCCCTATCTTCAAAAACTGTTCGCGTCGTTCCTGTAACAACTATCGTACTTGGTAGGTTGTTCAAAACCCGAGAAAGATTGACTCAAGAGGAGCAGGCTGGGTTCCGTTCCGGTCGAGGATGTATTGATCATATCTTCACTCTCCGTCAAATGTTGGAACACCGTCATACTTATCAAACGCCAACAATCGTAGTCTCTTGACATCACGGCTGCCTTCGATTCGTTGGACAGGACTGTTCTCTAGGATTGTCTATTGAAGAAGGATGTGCCTGAGAAGTTTATTAACATCCTAAAAGCTCTATATGCAAACACCTCAGGGAGAGTGAGGGCATACAACCACCTCTCTCCATTGTTCCATTTGAGCAGTGGGGTTAGACAGGGTTGCCCAATCTCACCATTCCTCTCCAACTTTGCCATCGATGACATGCTGGAAACAGCTCTGATGGATGTAAGTAATACCGGTGTGGATCTGTTGTCTAGAGAAAGACTTCTCGGCCTTCAATATACGGATGATATTGTCTTACTGTGCGATAATGCCCAAGCCATGCAATCCGCACTTAATCAGTTGGCAATCAGTGTCCATAGGTATGGTATGTGCTATGCACCTTCGAAGTGCAAAGTACTTCTACAAGACTGGCAGGATTCTAATCCTGTACTCACCCTGGATGGTGAGCAGATGGAAGTAGTCGAGAAGTTCTTGTATCTGGGTAGCTGCATAAGTGCTGGTGGTGGCGTGAGTGATGAGGTCATTGTTATTATTAAGTTCGTTACTTTAAAAATCAGTTTAACATACAATATTTATTTGTTGTAGAACCTCTGAGTATTTACATATCTTTATGTATAAACATTTCGTGGATTTAAGACAGTCTTTTTATTTATTCAACATCCGGTGCGTTGTTCTAGTTATTCTAAGATTGCGGTCTTCTGCACTAAAATATGTGTATTTTACTATCACCATATTCGTTCTGAAATATATTTTATGTTTCACTATCTCTACAAGAACTTCCCTAATTCTCATGTTCTTATTATTTATACATCTACTAGTAACCTATTCCAAAACCTGATTCGGGTTATTCGTTTTATGCATTCATCCTTCGCTAATCTGACGTAAATGTTTTTCATTATCCTTTCTACAATATGTAAAACATTCTGGCTGGATCCGATTGTATTTAATTGTAATGGGTTTTGTATGTTTCAATCTGTTTACTATTAGCTGTTAGTAATTTTTACGAATTCCCAAAACTAACGTATCTGTACTTAACTTTTGTAGGTTTTAGGTGGACCGATTTGTCTAGAAACATTTCAAAACTTTCCACCACTAGGACGTTTCACTTTACGTGATAAAGGGGAAACAATTGCCATTGGGAAAGTTGTTAAAATTTTAAACCCTTCTGACCAGTGAAATGATGTATGTTTTGATCCACAAAAAGTATTATTATCCAAATTCGTAAATATGGTATTTATATTTGATCTTTTTCACTTGAATGTGATTTGAAGTCTCCACTTGTACTAATTTAAGTATTTTCAGTTCTGGCGTTCGTTTTTTTATCAGTTTATTCAAATCGTATTATTTATGTTATTATTGAAATAGTTTTTTATTAACTAAGGTAAAATCTACAGTTTGGATGAACAAGATAAAGTTTGGTTGGAATAAACCCCATCGGTGTATTGAATGTTTGTCAATGTGCTGTATGGAAAAAGTTTTTCGATAATAAAGTGAAAGGTAATCAAATTGTCAAAGTATCTTAGAAATTTATTCAGATCGTAGATAGCTAATTATTGCTGTTTTTCTGAAGGATTGGCCAGCTAAATCCATCTTCCCATATTTTAACTTTGAATTCCCAGTTCTGTTACTATTAACTTGCTGCGAATAATTGATTTAAATGAGTATTTTGAAGTGAAACTGTTAATGAGCTGTCTAACTTTATTTTTGCTAATTATAGAGTTAAAGAGCAATTTCTGTATTCAGTGGGAATGTTTCTTGCTGACAGTTTCGGAAAATCAAATATCAGTAATGAAAGACAGACTTCTTTTCCATATATCTGTCAGTACATGGTTGAAATTAGTTGATTAATAACCAAAAACCCTATTATTATCACTAGGTTTACCCTACTCCCACTAAGTTGTGATGAAATAATTAACCGTGTCACTTAATTGCTCATGATCAATTTCGTACATGGACGTCAGTATGCTACTAAAATACACAATGTCCCCTCAACTTGCTACGTTATAAATATTCCCGAATACGTCTATTCAATCTGTGGGGCAATAGAAAAGGACTAGTCACTATTAATTCCACTAAACGGAATCGAATAGGTAAGTACATAAATAATTGCTCATGGCTTTTGTTGGCCGAAATGTCATCAGATAAATTTTTTAAGTTCCAATATTAGGTTATACTACTGTGTGACTTATCCTGCTATGTGGTTTTACCATATTATACGTTATCTCCGGACATATTCAGGATAAATGCTCTAAATCTGAAGAAAATACATCGTTATTTATCTAAAACATCAAATTTAGTACTTATTTTCACTTATCGAAATATTGCTAGAGTCAGTAGTATCTATCAAAACCATTCCCTCCGTACCCAAAGGTTGACTAGTATTTCTCCAATAAATAAACGAAACTTTTGTGTCTTCCACAACTTACAGCTACAAGTAAGATTATTTAAATCCAAATAAATGAAACTCGTAAATGTTAAGAAAATAATATAACAACTAAGAAAATCTCAATCATACTCGGTTCTGTAAACTGTCTAATATTGCATTCACAGTTTCCTCACCATATTGTTAACAAAATTTAGAAAGCGATAAATGACAGTTAATGCTAATGAACACCATCCACTTAACAGATAGACTGAGGAATGTGAATAATCATTCACTCCATCCTATTTATTTTCAAACGACTGAAAGTAATGTGTAAACTTACATTAATCAGACAGATAGGCGACTAAAACACTTCAAAATCAACAACCCAAAAGCGGTTAAAAAGTAAAAAGACGATAAATCTGATGCGCTTTTTCTATCTCAAATCTGAATGAATGCATGAGTAAATTCAGTACGTGTATAGTATTAAATAACCAGTAAAATTATATCGCTAAAAATCAATAGTAACGTATTTTGAACAAATGAAAACTAATGATACGGATGTGTATAACTACAATAATAACAGTTAGATGAGGTTACAATAATATCGACTTCGACCATCCGTAAAACGTTCCCTTATTAAGATAAAATTATTCGACTCATTGATACCCGGGTTGGCCTAGATCGACCTGGAATCAAACTTCTGATCTTTCTTCTCGATTTATTGATCTTCAAGGCAGTAAGGTCTTCTCAATCGATGTCTCTAATTTTTGTGGATCGAGAACAGGATACTTACTTTCTGCTTAGTTCAGGTTGAACATGTTGAGTAATAGGTCAACCAGTATATGTTCTTACTTGGCATGTGACTTCCCCGTACCTGATTTTGATGTTTGATCCATCTATCACCCCATGTTATGTGTCCACTCTGTCTAGTGGTGGTGTTCGCTGTCCGTGCATTGTATCTCCCTATTTCGAAATGCCTTGAAGTATGCTTTAACACTACGTCAGATTCTTCTAAAAAAATGATATAATTAAGAATAGTATTCCCCTCCTATTGATGCTCTCCTTGGTGTTTTGGAAGCGTTTCCGCTAGGTGTCATCCTGGTGCAGTTTCATGATTTTCTTAAGTGCGTACTATCTATCAAGTGTCATTTATCATTTGCATCGTTCTGTCACAGTAAGTTGTTGCTAATAATGTCTGACCAACAGATTCGGAGTATCTTGCGTAGACAATTGTTTATAAGTGCATGTACTTCGTCGGTGGCTGTTGTGGTAGTCCTGCAATTCCAGCACCGTACAAAGAACTCTCTCTTGAAGTTGGTATTAAAATTCCTGACGTGATATCCTTCAATTTTAGAAATGTAGCCTACGGCTTGCTAATCTATATCTCTACATCTGGATCAGAACCTTCATTTTTAAGCGGATATACAAAAGCTTCCACCTCTTCTAGAGCTTCATCACTAAATGTGATTTGATTGTTTTCTATGGTTTTGTATTTCAGGATCATGCATTTTCCCGCGTGTATGTGTAGACCTACTGCTACAGAGGTTGTTGCATTTGTTGATGTGCTTACAGTAGGTGGGTTAGGTCTTATTATCACCAAACGACATAAACTCTCTAAATGAGGACTCATGTTTCGGGTAAATTTTAAAGTTTTTTTGGCGAGGTCCATTTTCACTAGGGAAGGCTGCTAACCTCTATGCCCAACCCTCCTTTATCTGTAATTCAGACTGGTGATATCCCTAAAAGTACTCGAGACAAGGTCATCGTGGTTATTTACCCACTTATAACCGTAGCAGCTTCCTGATGTGTTGATGAAGTAGCCAACGTTCGCCGATATCAGTAAACTTTTTAAAGGCTGCAGTATTACAGATTGGGCATGGGGTTAACGTCCCCATCCCGTAGAAAACTAACTCGCTAAAAAAACACTTACCAGAAAAATAATTCAAACCATTTTAATTCTGCCCTGGGAGTTAGAAGGTCTTCATTTAGAAGAATTATGAAGCTTCATGGTGAAAGCCGAGTTCCTTAGGAAGCCACGAGGCCGATGTCCCTTCTAACAACCAGAGCGAAAATTTTTGTAGGTACATGGAACGTCCGAACAATGTGGGAGACCGGGAAGATCAGTCAAATAGCAACGGAAATGAGGAGATACAACTTGGCAATACTGGGAATCAGCGAAACCCATTGAGCCCAATATGGACAGAAAAGACTAGCTACGAGAGAGATGCTGCTATAATCCGGTCACAAAGAAGTAAACGCTCTACACACCCAGGGAGTCGCTCTAATGCTGTCTAAAGTAGCACGAAATGCACTTGTAGGATGGGAATCTCACGGATCCAGAATCATTCAAAACAAAGAAGGAGGGGATCACAATCAATATTATCCAATGTTATGCACCCACCAATGATAGCAACGACGACATTAAAGATCAGTTCTACGAGCGGCTGCAGTCAATCATAGAGAAATGCCGAAGAAAGGACCTCACCATTCTAATGAGAGATCTAAATGCCAAAGTCGGAATAGACAACACCGGATATGAAGATATTATGGGACGACATGGACTGGGACAGAGAAACGAAAATGGAGAAAGACTTGCAAATCTATGTGCATTCGACAAATTGGTCATAGGGGGCACAATATTTTCAAACAAGCGTATACACAAGGCTACATGGATCTCACCGGACCACACTACAGAGAACCAGATAGATCATATTTGCATCAACAAAAAATTCCCGAAGGACAATGGAAGATGTGAGAACCAGGAGAGGTGCTGACATAGCTTCAGATCATCACCTAGTTGTAGCCAATTTAATACTGAAGCTAAAAAAGAACTGGACAAGTGGACAAACAGCACTACAAAGGTTCAATACAGCCTTCCTTCGAGATACTGATAGACTCAATGAATTCAAGATAGCTCTCAACAACAGGTTCCAAGCCTTACAAGATCTACTGAAAGGAACTAGTATGGAGGACAACTGGAAAGGCATCAAGGAAGCATTAACTTCAACGTGTCAAGAGGTTCTGGATCTCTATAGAAACTCTGGACAAGATCAAAGAAAGGAAGAACAAGAAGGCAGCAATAAAGAACAGCCGAACACGAGCAGATGAAGTCCAAACACAAGCTGAATACATAGAAGCAAACAAGCAAGTGAGGAAGAGCATTAGAACCGACAAAAAGAAATACGTGGAAGAACTAGCAACGACGGTGGAAAAAGCTGCAAGGGAAGGAAATATGAAACAGCTTCACGATACAACGAAGAAACTAGCAGGGAAATACAGTAAACCAGAGAGGCCGGTCAAAGACGGAAGAAATTAGAATGGCCGTCAGACAAATCATGAGACGGAAAGCAGCAGGACTCGACAACATAATAGCTGTAGCACCGAATGAAATCAGACATCGAAGTAAGTACAAACATGCTTCGCCTTCTATTCAAAAAGATTTGGAAGGAGGAACAAGTGCTGATGGACCGGAAAGAAGGACACCTCATCAAAATTCCAAAGAAAGGGGATCTGAGCAAATGTAAGAACTACAGAGGCATTACACTACTATCAGTACCAAGGAAAATCTTTAACAGAGTGTTGCTGAATCGGATGAAAGATGCAGTAGACGCCCAACTTCGAGATCAACAAGCTGGATTCCGTAAGGATCGATCGTGCACAGACCAAATTGCGACATTACGGATCATCGTCGAACAATCAGTTGAGTGGAACTCGTCATTATACATCAACTTCATTGATTATGAAAAGGCATTCGACAGTGTAGATAGGAGGTCGTTATGAAAACTTCTTCGACACTTCGGAGTTCCTGAGAAGATTGTCAATATTATCCGGAACTCATACGACGGACTATGATGCAAAGTCGTGCATGGAGGACAGCTGACAGATGCATTCCAAGTAAGGACCGGAGTCAGACAAGGCTGTTTACTCTCTCCCTTCCTTTGTCTTCAGGTGGTCGACTGGATTATGAGGACCTCGACATCTGAAGGAAAACACGGAATACAATGGACAGCTCAGAATCAATTAGACGATTTGGACTTCGCAGATGACCTAACCCTCCTATCACGTACACACGAACAGATGCAGATGAAGACAGCCAGTGTAGCAGCAGTCTCTGCATCAATAGGCCTCAACATACACAAGGGGAAAACCAAGGTCCTCAAATTCAAAACGGAGAACAGCAATCCAATCACTCTTGATGGCGAAACTCTGGAAGATGTAGAATCCTTCACATACTTGGGAAGCATCGATGAACAAGGAAGCTCAGATGCAGACGTAAAGACGAGGATTGGCAAAGTAAGAGTCGCATTCCTACAATTGAAGAACATATGAAACTCAAAACAACTTTCAACCAATATCAAAGTGAGAATCTTCAATGCGAACGTCAAGGCAGTTCTACTGTACGGTGCTGAAACTTAGAGAACTACAGGAACCACAATCAAGAAAGTACAAGTATTTATAAATGATTGTCTACAGAATATACTCAACATCCATTGGCCGAATACCATCAGCAACAGCCTTCTCTGAGGAGAACAAATCAGCTTCCGGCTGAAGAATAAATTAGGAAAGGACGATGGAAATGGATAGGACATACATTACGCAAATCTTTAAACTGCATCACGAGACAAGCCCTAACTTGGAATCCTGAAGGGATGAAGAAAAGAGGAAGGCCTAAGAAAACATTACGTCGGATAATAGAAGCAGATATGAAAAGGATGAATAATAACTGGAAGGAGCTGGAAAGGATTGCCCAGGACAGGGTTGGATGGAGAATGCTGGTGAGCGGCCTATGCTCCTTCACGAGGAGTAACAGGCGTAAGTAAGTAAAAGGTCGGATCTACAACGCGTCGAAGAGAGCAGGTTTGCTCTATGCTTGTGAAACCTGGTCTCTACGAGTGTAGGACGTTAGACGACTCTCTGTCTTCGATCATCGTTGTCTCCGAAGGATTGCTGACATCCAGTGTCAACACCATGTTAGTAATGCAGAGGTTCGGCATCGTGTGTTCGGGCACAGAGACGATAATGCAATTGGTGTCACCATCTTGAAACACCGACTTCGGTGGCTTGGACATGTTCTACGAATGTCGTCCCTGAGAAGTTTATTAACATCCTAAAAGCTCTATATGCAAACACCTCAGGGAGAGTGAGGGCATACAACCACCTCTCTCCATTGTTCCATTTGAGCAGTGGGGTTAGACAGGGTTGCCCAATCTCACCATTCCTCTCCAACTTTGCCATCGATGACATTCTGGAAACAGCTCTGATGGATGTAAGTAATACCGGTGTGGATCTGTTGTCTAGAGAAAGACTTCTCGGCCTTCAATATACGGATGATATTGTCTTACTGTGCGATAATGCCCAAGCCATGCAATCCGCACTTAATCAGTTGGCAATCAGTGTCCATAGGTATGGTATGTGCTATGCACCTTCGAAGTGCAAAGTACTTCTACAAGACTGGCAGGATTCTAATCCTGTACTCACCCTGGATGGTGAGCAGATGGAAGTAGTCGAGAAGTTCGTGTATCTGGGTAGCTGCATAAGTGCTGGTGGTGGCGTGAGTGATGAGGTCATTGCATGTATAGTGAAAGCCAGAGCGGCTTATGCTAATCTGGGCCATCTTTGGCGCCTTCGTGATGTTAGTCTGGCTGTAAAAGTTCGGATCTACAGCGCGTCGGTGAGAGCAGTTTCGCCCCATGCTTGTGAAACCTGGCCTCTCCGAGTTGAGGACGTTAGAAGACTCTGTGTTCGATCATCGTTGTCTCCGAAGGATTGCTGACATCCAGTGTCAACACCATGTTAGTAATGCAGAGGTTCGGCATCATGTGTTCGGGCACAGAGACGATAATGCAATTGGTGTCATCATCTTGAAACACCGACTTCGGTGGCTTGGACATGTTCTACGAATGTCGTCCCAGAGAATTCCACGTCGTGCATTATTTGCCGACTCCGGGACTGGTTGGAAAAAGCGGAGAGGTGGTCAGTGTATAACATGGTATCGTGGCATGAAAGAAAGCTGCAAAGGGCTGACTTCTGTCGGTCCTTTACGATTACCTGGTTGGGGTCCGAGAGATGGTGCTACACCGTGGGTAGAGACGTTATCAGATATGGCTCAGAATAGAAGCCAGTGGCGATCCTGCTGTAACCTTTTTTTACTTTCTTCATAAAAAGTGGTTGTGTCTCCCTTACCTGAAATATTTCTTCTGATTGTACCTCGTTACTACCACACTACCTTACACCAATCTCTTCGTTATTGTTCTCTTTTTTTTCTATTTCTCATTGTTTGTGTGGTGCATATATATTGGCGCTCTCTTGTACCAATATTTATGTGTTCAAATAAATAAATAAATAACAGATCCAAATTGAATTTTGAAGATAGCCGTCAATTTAAGGCACTTATATACCAAATTAGTTGTGACATGTCTCAGATAACTGTGTAGAATTTTCTTAATGACAAGTAATTTACAATGATGCTGATTTCGGTCAAAGCCCAGTATCGTACGTTTCATCTGTACACTTTCTTCGCACAGTTTTGCTTACTTATAAGTAGTTCGGCTAGATTGTTCGCAAAACCATCCAATACAGTTGAAACATCTATTTTTGGTACGTTGTCCAAGTTTCTTAGTGTGTATTGACCCTCTGAAGCTTAATTATGCACAGCGGTAAGAAACATCGATAACGTTCTTGATTTCAGACGATGATAGGATTGCGTGAGTGACATCAGACTGATGTTCTGAAAGAACTATGCGAACTTTCTTGTATGTATAATCTTTATAGCGTCAATTCCTCTAATCCTACACTTTTCATTAATGGCCACAAATTAGTCACCACGTGTGGAGAAATTCGAACAATTCACTTCTACCTAAAATTTGTGTTCACGATGTCGTCCAGAAGAACGATGAAAGCTCCACGACTAAACCATCCAGCTCAGAGATTAAAATCATCCACCTGAGCTACAAATCTCCGCCATCTCGTGGTCATCATCAGTTCACCATCTTTTGTTCCCTGTCAAAATATTTAATTAGGGATTATACTCGAATAACCTTGTAGGGATGTTCTTACTTTTGTTGTGCTTATTACCAAACTACCTTTTAAGGCTTTTCACATTTTTCTCTGAATGTCATCCAAGGCAAACTACTATCACAAATTTTCTCGATTACCACTTATCTGGTGGAACAAATTGTATAATAAATATTACAAGTATAAGAAATAATTACCTTCATTGATACTGGTTAATATTTGCAGCTCGTGATTCACATAGAACTATGATTCAGTAAAAGATATGTCTTTCCTGACTTTTACATTTACTCTTGAGGGTTTCTCTTTACCAACTAAGAAAACAAACAATACTTTCGATCATACGATGTGAAATCTATGTAAATACACTAGACATTGAAGATGAGTAGATCTTTCTCGATTATTATTTAATTAATATTACTCAGAAACATTTAAACACACCACCACCGATTGCTTTTAATCATAACGTTAATAATTAAACCAAAAATATGTGCAAAGAACCTAGCACAGACAGTGCTTGGACTCAAATACTACTTACACAATAAGCAATTATGACTCACAAATAAAAGTGTGATTACGAACTAACTACATAAGAAGTAATTTTATCGTACTAAAAACCACAAAAACGGAACATTGTATATAGCATAATTATAGTAATAATTTTCGTATTGATCATTTTAATAACAAGTATATCAAGAGGTTTCGAATCTAAATTGTGAATGTTTGCATATATTGAGAGAAGTGAATAATATAGAAATATTTTTCGACAAAAAAGTCAGTGAACAACATCATCATGAAGTGAATATTGGTTGAGTTTGAAACATACAGACAAAAAAAACAAAATTAAATCAGTATCTCACTGTCAACTTATTAAATCGAAAGTAACCTACAATTAGATCAACTCCTGTTAGTATTATTATCAACGAAAAGACATGTCTGCGCTTTCGTAAAAGTTCTTCAAGGTTATCAAACATTTAACAGTAAAAAACATACAGTAACTGAAATGAAAAGAAGTGTATGACATCAATTTATCTTCCATTTTTTAATATTTTATACAAAATGAACAGTTAATTCCTTCTGTAACTGAATAATTGGTTAAAGTAAAAGAAAAGATCAAAATACTAAATAAATTTTAGAACGAGACAAATTAAAAAAAATAACGTTGAGAAGACATGATTGACGGCAAATAAGCCAGTTCAGGTTTGGTTCTTATAAATCCTAGAGGAAGACATTCGATTATTGAATAAACATCAGTACAAACATTGGTCAAAACAAAAATAAGAAAGATAAATTCAAAAGATGAAATTAGTAGAAGATATCTATTTTTCAGGCAAAGTAGAAATCAAAATTCATGTGATGGACAGTTTTATCTAAATATATCTATCCTTAAAAATAAAAAACCTAAATATCTTCTGAGGTTTGGTAGAGAAACATTTTCCAGGAGGTATTACTGGTTTAGTTCTAAAGTGTGGAGATAGTAGGAAATCCTGTGACGCTGGCCAGAGCGGAATTCAATGCCATACTTCGATTAGCCGAAATGGCGAACAAAGGAATGTGGTAATACTTACATGGTATACGTGTGCATCGACCTTTAGCAGCATCGCGACATACAGTCACACGTCCTTGATTAACTTCCACATTTTCTATTAAGTTGGGGAAAAATAGTAATGTTAGTTCATTATACATTATAATCAGTGAGAGAAAATAAATGTGAATAGAGCAAAAGTAAACCTTAAGGTATTGGATGGTCTCGCAGTAATCCTCGTTGCAGTTACGTAATCTCGACATTAATACTGAGTCTGAAAGTGAATACCTTCAGTTTCTGTCCAGGAAATTACTTTTACTTAAGAATCAAAAGGAGTGGAGTATCCATAATGTCGATGTGAAAAAGTGAAGCACGGCTAGACTTAGTTATTGTAAATAAAACTACAGAATATATATATATAATAAACTTGTATAAAACATTTTACTTACCGTCAACTAGATGAACGTAACGGCATTCTGAGTTACGACGACATTTGCCAGCTTTAAAATCACGACATATTGGCAACGTTTCCAACAACTGAAATCAATTCCGAGAATATTCTTTTAATTGTATGAATTGTTCATGAAACCAGAGTACAAAACAACAAATCATCTCACCTTCACTGATGAAAAACAGTACATACTTCATCCTTTGATTTAAAGACACTATACGACAATACTTTTATACTTGTTGCCTGAGTGCCCTGTTAATGGATAAGTAACGATACCGCCAATTAGAGAGCAGTGACTTATCGATTGGATCAAGGACGCGTAAACCCGTATGAGCAGTCTAGAGTTCTGATTGGTCCTGCTTTCCGTCTAGCCCAGCCAATTAAGTCCAGAACACCAATCCGAACCTCTGCGATATGAATCATTTATTTCAAGCATACGAGGTTTATATACCAATCAAACGTACCATAAAATAGAAAACAAGATTTGGCCAAATGTGGCTGTGAATGTGGGAGGCAGTGACTAATAGACAGGGCATAATTCAAGAATGGTAAGACGTATAATAATGGTTCATAGGTCAAAATAAAGCTGATAATAAAAGGAATATGAATAGTTTAGTTATTTAACAATTACACGATAATAATATACGTTTAGTAATGGTTCATAAATGGATCCCAAAGTTACCATTCATTATGCTTATTGGGACTTAACAAATACAAAGTGAGGCTAGACAGTAAGCTGAATAGTTCATTTTAAAGGTTGTACGAGAATGAAATACAACCTGATAACCACATAATTTTATATAATCAACAGTATACAACATTTACTGCAAATGATATGCTACTAATTTCTCATGGAATCAGCTTAGTGTATATTTCCTATTGTAAAAACATAAAACCGTGGTTCATCTGCCTAACCATTTAGATTTATAAATTCCAAGTTCACTTTTTAAGATTTCGTAGTTGAATATTATTCGACTAAACTTACACATAAGTGTCACCTTATAATTTAGCCCCTTAAATACCTAAAACATACTAAGTTTGATTAATACATATGAGCATATAACAAGTAAACCACATTGTATAATATGGTTATAAATTTTACCAACCTAAATGAACAATGTCTACCTAAAGCCACTACAAATCGTTTTAGACACTATTTGTGCGCGTCGATTAACTTCACTATCAATTTAGTCTAAAATGAAAGCTCATGTCATAATATAAATGGAAGAAGACAGGCTTACATGGCCTTTTTCATTAATGTAGGCCACATTGGTCATTGGATTCTGTGAACAAAAGCTGGTTCCATATAATCCAGACGAAAGATGTCCTAATGCACCTGGAACCGGACCTGAAATATAAATATTGAGCAAATGCTTTGAATACTAGTCGATAAGTATTGTTAAGAATAAAAACTCACCGAAAGGATGATAATATATTAATCAAAATAGATATAATGATTAAACTAGGGATTGAACCTAACCAAATGATCATGCACAATATTTAGTATTTGTGTATATGAAAATAAAAGCATTCAAACTAACCGGGTCATCTGAATTGTAAATGACTGCAAAATATCTAACATTCAGACTAGAATGTAATTAGCTATCGTACATGCAAAAAACAGATGAAATAATATCATAGAGCATGTATACATTCGAAATGAATAGATACAGGCTATATAAAAATACTCGATTAGTTATAACCTATATAATCAACTGTCTATAAATACACAATATTATTTGAAATACATAACTAGGTTGAATTACTGTTTTTTTCTAAATAGTCATAAGTCAATCATTCTTTAATACTACAGTATTACGAAGGATATTTTGATCAGGTTTATCTTCATAACTATTCAAGGTAATTTTTACCTAAAATTTATACTGTTATATTTTAGTACACATCAAAAGGAAAGAAAGATCAGTTATTTGGCATACTTTAAAGTATTAAAAAATATTGGGTAAACAAGAGACTATGTTTGTTAGATATAACACTGAAAAAGTGTTCAGGAAAATACGCTATTATATCAATGATAATAATTCCAAGTAAACTGCGAAACTATACACACTAAAAGCCATCTTTTGGTAATTTGTGATGAACAGTCAAACATGACTTCTAGAAGACATAATAAATAGCTTAGAAATACTCAGCAGCATGGTAGCTTAACTGGATACTACATAATAAGATAATGCCCTGGTATGGCCGAGGGTGGGGAGAGTTAGCTCTCCCTCACAAAATGCTCTGCACATGACCACGCATATAAAACCAGGGAAGTCTTATTCACTACCTTCTCGCGACCGGGGTGTTGTTTAAGAAATTTAAAGGACGAAAAGCGAATGTCCGGAGCTCTAACCAGGTTGGTGGATATGAAGGACCCGCCTAAGGGGTTTGAAAACCCTGATCTTAAACCAACGGTGCGCATGGGCTCCAGGATCCTGAGGGAACAAATGGTGTACGAACCAATTATTGATCACCGGCTACCATGGGACTGCATCTCTTAACTTTGCTCCACTGACTTATGTATTAGACCTTTAGGTTGAAGACTCGGGTTGTGGCCTCTTAAGGAAACCACCTGCTTCACTTTGGGCGTCTCGGTAGTATTTCAGCTCGTGTGATTCATATATTCGTTGCCCCTTCGTACCAAGATTTATGCGTTCAAATAAATCACAAGATAGTGAAAACTTGTGTGAAATGTCTTTGTGTTCCTTCCCATCCCACTTTAGATCACGCTATTTTCATGAAGGTTTTTGATTTTATCCATTTAGGCAGAACAAAATAGATGGATCAACATTCGAACCGCTAAACCATTAATTCTAAAGAAGGGTGAAAATGTATTCTAATAATATAATTCTTTTTTTAGTGGATAGATTTTGATTAGTGACGATGTTTGCAGCAAAAAAATTCTACTGTGGATTTCCGGAAATATGTGCGGAATTTATTTCAAGCATATTATGAACATACAGTATACGATATATTAATAGTGAGCCGAATGAACTACATCTATATTTAACAAAAGATATAGTTTGAAAGTATGACAGTTACATGAAATGTTTGAACGTCATTGGATGTAAATACGTTATTCTAGTTTAAGAAAAATAACAACTACAAAAGCATAATCATACCAGTGTGGCTGAAATAGCCTACAAAATGCTTAATAACACGAGAAAACTTGGAGACATTACAGGGACTCAGTGAATACGATACAAAGAAGCATAAAATATTTAACTTCAGCGTATACGGTGGTTCATTAAAGCATTTAAAACTTATGCGATTACATCACATAAACCGATTTCCCGGTCAAACGGTGCTTTAATTAGTATCAGCCAAACATTTGCATCTTTTAAATTGGATCTTACATAAATGTGCCAGACCTACGAGAACTGCCTAGCTTGTTTATTTTAGTAACACAAACATGATGGACTATAGCTAAGATACTGCTAGATCATTATAAGATGAAAATATACAAAACGATTATTTCATATTAAAGTAATAAATAAAGAAACCTACAAAAGCAACTTAAATCATGGGCGAAGTCGTTATAGTATTTTCTCAACTGGAAACAATGAAAAGTCTATGTATGTACGGTATGACATACAATACACGTCAAAAGTAGGAACTAGCACATGTATACATAAACGGTTGTTTGGTAATAAAATAATTAATCAGATAGGAAATGTGGTATAACATACATGATGAATCCAGAACGCAGCCATGATTTTGAAGATTGGGGATCGGTGGTAATCGTGAAGTGTCGTTTTGTGACAAATAGCCCGCTGCTGCCACTTGTGCAGCAGCTAGATGAGTTTGTTGACTTCGAAGGATAAGTGACAACAACAGAGCTTGTTGCTGGTGTTGAAAAGTATTATTCGAAGCATTTGTATGAACATCATGAGCTGGAGGTTGATGGGCTGCTGCTAAAGCTGTGGCGGTCGCTAAGGTGGAAGATGGTACATATGATGAATACAAGCCAGACCCAGATAACTGTTGATTTGATACTGTCGACAACTGAGTTCGTAACAATTGATGAGACTGCAGTTGTTGTTGCTGTTGTATTAAAAAGTTATTTAGCGCTAATGCTGCAGCTGCTGAAGTCATTGGATTAGGCGCATCACAACCATTGTTCATGGAATATAACGGTGGGTATATGAATTGTGATGGAGTGTAAAGTGATGCAGCAGGTTGTGAAGAAAACGGAAGACCATAAATACTCATACTCAAAGGATTTAGCACATTCGTTACCTCAGGATTAACATGAGATGTTCCTATATCTGTACAAGAATTTATTGGGGTAAATCCAGGATTGAAAGACCCACAAGTGAAAATAGCAGGAAACGAAGTCCCAGAATCAGGCATACGACATTTTGTTTCACTATTTTGGCAAGACCTTTCCAGTTTTTCGTCACTGTTACATACGACAGTTGATTCTTTATTTTGACTTGTTCCGTCTAATGAAGATGAGGTAGACAAATTTGCTCGTTTTGTAGGTAACCATTTCTATTGCGTTGAAAAAAGTATTCATACTTAGAAATAAAATAACTTTCAAAAATACAGTGCAATAAAAATGTCACTGACAAATTCATACCAATAATAAGTTGCATAGTAGTTGATGTCTGTGTAGTATTCTTTTTTGAACTCATGAATAAACTGTTCACTTAAAAGATCGAAAATTTAGTCCATGTATTCTAAACACAGATTCGTATACTCAGGGCTTTGAGTTACACTTTCTATGAAGGTCAGTGATACAACGCGATCGCCTAAACAGAATTAGAAAGAGCGCAACTCGAACCTGGGTATTTAGTGGTTGAAAGTCAAACAACTTGAGTATCAAGACTTACTTACTTACTTACTTACTTACGCCTGTTACTCCTCGTGAAGGAGCATAGGCCGCTCACGAGTATCAAGACGTTGTAACACATTTAAAAGGATGAATAAATAAACAGTAAATACATAACTAAAGAATCAAATGTCTGACTTCATTAGGTTTCGCAGCCTTGGAGTCTAGTATGTATACAACGTATAGAATCATAAACACCTGTCTAGTGATGAATGGTTCCCAGTTGTTTTGACATAAGTTTCAGGAGAAAAAAGTATCTTCAAAGTAGTGGAGACAAAACCCATCAATGAGATTCTTTGCTCAATTACCTGATAGAATGATAAGATTGTTCATTAGCTGTATGAAACTAATAATCCCTACTACTGGAATCACTGAACGAAATATTTGTTTAACTCTTTTTGTGTTAATTATAAATAATTCATTTTGCTATCTGGCGTTTAATAAAGCTTTGAAGATAGCCATGGGAGCAGTCGATGATCTCCCTAAATTGTATATATTATCTGCATAGCCTTTTATTGTACAAACTGAATAAAGGAAAACATTTTGTGGTTTTAGGTGATGAACTAGTAAATTTTGTTTTGTCGATAAACAAAAACGGTTTCCAACTTATCTAGGTCGAATAAATCCTAGATAAACGTTAACATTGGGGGATGCTCAGTTTCCGGTACTTATGATAATAAGCATAAAATGTATTTTCAATACTTTGTTACTGGGAGATGATTTTCTTTCAAACTGATCAATAAAATGGAGGGTTGCAGAAAAACTAGATAAAATAACAGATGTGTTTTTTACGTAATATAAACTTTAGTCACAATTGATTGATCACTGGGTGGTGATCAATGTCATGCTTGTCTAGTCCTTATTAGTGCAGATCGAATCCGCCAGGGAGCACCAGTTCCCTCAAGATTACAGGTACACCTTTCTGACGAGTGCCAAGTAGCACGAAACCCGGGTCCAGGGTTTCCTGTTAACTACCTCCAACTACCATCTAAATAAACGTTAGTAGAAGTTAGACGAAATATTTTCAGTTATTTTACTCAAATACGCATCAAGTTATCAGAAGTATGACAACTATAACATTCACGTATAAAATACGCACATAACTTCATATGAGCGCAGAAGATAAAATGGGTGGGTAAACACTCAAGTTATCCATGTATTATAAATATAGATAATTTTCTCAAACTGATAAATCAGACGATGATTCTAAAATGTTAAGGTTATATCAATTACCATCAGACTGTAGTGGATCATAAATAATCCAGTTAAGTACTATAATTTTATGTGTAAACGGATATTATTATGGTTGCAAATGCGATAAAAAACGAATATACATACACAACTGAGGAATGTTGATATATAGGTAAATGGTGTAAAAAGATATTGCAAAGCTTTTAATAGTTATTCGATGCTAGTCATCCTCCAGAATAAAGGGAAATTGCGATTATTGATAGGCTAATTTCAAGATACTAATTACAGGCTATTTGGAAATCATCTAATCAGTCCGAAATATTAATTTAAAACTACTAGTGTGAAAATATGGCTACTAGGGGGGTTAAATATACTTTGTCACTCAAACTAGCACCAATAATAACAGTAGTTTGTTAGTATTGATCTAACTTTTCATCCATCCTACTTTTTTTTATTTTTCACCATCCGACAAATGAATTACCGTATGAAATATGCGTCAGTGTGTAGTAGTATTTTAACTCTGTATGGCTACAACCTTCAGGATAAAACCCGTGAGCTTGTTTTTACAGTTTAAAAAATTAATAAATTTTACAAAGTTTGAGGAAATACAAACTAATTACAGCATCGTTTAACCGTATTTAAACTAGAAAATTATATTGGTCCAAAGGAATCAGAATAAATCCGGTAATCAGAACTTTGCACCATAGTTAAACAATCTGTCCAATGAGCCTGTAGGAAATATACTTTCTTTAAAAAATAAAGCATGCCAACATGCTGCAACAAAAAATCGTTGCTAGGGCTAGCGAAAATAACCGTGTAATTGGAGTTAAAACTTTATAAAGTATACGTATGTTATATACTATAATTAAAATAAAGCACTATGAAGCCAAAAAACGTTAATCAGGACAACATATAATGAAACAAGAAACAACAATTAGGTCGAACACAAAAACCCAAGCACATTAATTTTAAAGCAAAGCCAACGAGCAAAAACGGTAACTAAAAATTCAAAAAATGAACCACCCACATGCATTTCCAAGTCATTTTCAAAACTTCCAGAAGCAATATTAGCCTCACGTTTCATACCGGAACGAATAAGTGAGGTGAAGGGATTAGCAGCAGTATTACTGGCAACTTCAGAATTACTTGTTACAATTGAAGAAACATAATTATCGACAGACGTAGTAGGAATGAATGCAGCTACAGTTGAAGGGAGATTAGCAGCATTGGTTTGCTGCTGTTGAACAGATTGGTATTGTTGTATTTGACGATTTGACATAGGATTCGCCAAACATGTTACAGCATTGCAATTATTAAAGCTTAAGAATTTTGACTGAGATAATGTGGAATTAAGCGCAACAAAAAACGAGCAGCTCATATGCGCACACATGTAGGACCAGCGCCCATGAGTAAGCAACCAAGCGTCACCAGAGATGAAGATATATATATATGTTGTGAGAGTAAGGAAGGAGTGAAAGTCAAATCAAGAAAGTGGAAAAATAAGAGCCACAAAAATACTGGTAAACAATCAAGTAATTTAAAGATTAAAAAATTACCAAGGCTGAACTATATATATAATGATTACTTTACCCACATGATAAAATATCGGTTAGTATCAAGAAATCTAAAGTAATATTGGTGTAATATAGAAGTAGTGAAGCCATAATGAACAATCTAGAATAAGTGGATGGAGATAACTAGCGGTTTATGTCATGTATATTAGAGCAACACAACGATTAAAGATGTGTTCAACGACTGGTTGTATGTGACTATTCTATTAAAATTACGACAGCAAAAAGTAGTTTATTTGTTAAGATGTTCAGCAGACCTTTTATTCATTCATGCAGATAGCTTGTTAAATTGCTGCTACCACTAAGTTCGTGATTTGTAACCACATGATTTTAAAACATTAAGGAATACAACACAATATCTGAACTCTTTATATATACAGGATGAATAACCAAAAGCTGCTGCTTTACTGTACTTAATGGGTTTACCGAATGCATCGATCCAATCAGAGTATTATTTAACAAGTTGCCTGCTCTGTGATAGCCTGGTATTCCGAATTTGACTGAAGGTTAGTGGGGGAGAAAGTAATTATTTACCTAACCATCAAAGTCACTATGCGAGGAATATCCTAACCCTTAACATGTAGAGACTAGTTTAATGCTACGACGCAATGAAACATAAGTTTCACTCTGACCACACAATTCCAGTAAGTTAAGACCACGAAATAAAGCCTAAAACACAAGTATATAATACGCTCATGTGTGAAGTTAAACTAAAAACTTCACCATGTATAATATTTGATCTCAATTAGAACTTAAAAACGTTTGCTGGTCTGCTACTAATTTAATGTACCATTCAATTTACAAATTCTACGCCTGATTAAATGTTTTTTTTCTTCATCTCAGTTAGATTTGCAATCATAAATCACTCTCTATTTTGGAAATTAAATACTGGTCACAGATGTAATGTTACAAAGGCCAGAAGTAAATGAAATTTATTCTGAAGCAGTGCATATAAACCAGGTTCGTTAAAAAGAATTAAGTTTCTGAAGTCATTCTTCGCCTGTTATAGTGCATAGAACATATATTGAAAATTCTAGACGTGTCCAAGTCAGTCTTCGATAATGAATGATACAACTGGTATACTTAACTCCAAAAAAATCAAGCAATGAGTGGAATGGTATACTACAAATTTTACAGTCACTGATTACATTATAAGAAGTAGATTTAGACTATTTTCTTCCACATCAGTGAACAAAAATGTGTCACACCTTACTCTTGAGGAGCCGGTTATCTTACTGATCAAAATTCTTTTCCCACAAAAATATGATCATATAAACATTCATTTTGGAGGATTTTTCTCTCTAACAAAGTCTCTTTTCCTCTACGATGTAATTTAATTTAACTAACATTATCCACTAACTAATCTCGAGATTTAAGATAGAGAAAAAAAGTTACTGAACAATAAACTACTTGAAAACAATAAATTGTAGTGTGTGTTTATACATTCACCATAATTTTTGATAACAATGATCCCAGAATCCACCCTTAAAACAAATAAACAACTAAATATGCGAGCAAAATACAAATGCTTTAGCTTTCAAGATGTTACAACACTAAACACATGTTAACAATGAATCAAACCGAAGCAACATCAAGGAATACGAGCAAATAACATATATCAATACAAATATGAACATCTATAAGCCATTATGAAGTATCAGTACTAAAATTGTGACTCACCTCAGAATCAACTGATGAGGACGTATCATTATTGATTGTTGACTTTGAAATAACCGAATCATGAGGAAATATTGAGCATGAAGATAGTGTAGATGATGTTGGTAACACACTGGCAACTTGATTTGCCTGTTGTAGGACAGCTGCCGCTGCTAATAATGCTGATGCACTAAGAGATGCCGGATCAGGTACAGAATTTAGAGGAGTTAAATATGTTCCATAAACTGATCCCCCAACAGTTGACTGGAGTAATGTAGTAGGTGGCCATCTACTAGCTACTGAACTGAGAATGGGTAAACCAGTCGGTAGTGTCTGTTGCAGCGGTTGCATTGAAATGAGATTGGAAGTCTAATTAGGATAGTACAAAATAAATCTGATCAAATGTTTAGGATTGAAAATTTCATATTTAACTGTCCATTGATACACTGACAAAATTTAAAAATATTCCGAATGACCAGATAATCCACTTTTAAAAAATACTACCCAACGGTCTAAGTTGACAGCAGTGGCACAGATAGCTATTATAAAACAGATTATGAAGTTACCATATCATTAGAAGTAAAAAATAGTTTAGTTTATGGCAAGTAGAGATGAGTTGAAAATTCTATTAAGATGTTAGTATACACATATACAAACATATGCTGCGCACCCACACAAAAATATTACGATTTCAGTACTGAATGCGATAAAATAACTATTGGTTCAAAAAATAATAATATTATTATTGTGTCGTGACTGTTGTCGTTAGTACACTTTAGTACATAAAAAAACAGAACCTGGTTAATAGTTATGCACTCCTAACACACACAACACATAAGTGTCGATACGCACACACAAAATCGACAGAAATAATGGTCAGTAATATGAATAAATAAAAAGGGGTGCTTGTATGGGTTGGATCCGAACCGATAGACAGGCAGTTAATCTACCATATATGTCAATGAATCATCCTTCATTTAAGGTCAGACTGGTACTGCTCACTCAAAATAAAGATGTGAATCAGGAAAAATCAAAAATACTAAGAGGGGGACGGAGCAACGGACCAAACAGCTTAGGTAAATATACACGCTATATCATGCAATATTTTCAAGAGAACCAACGTCAAAACAATGAACAACCATAAATGTGAAGTAAATTGAAAAGAATTTATTTAGTAAGTAGATGGGTCTTAAATTTACATAGGACTACAAAGACATTGGATATTAACTCCGTTGGATTGCGGCTCAGTGATCTACTGGTTGTGTCCGCGCAAGACCAGAGATCCTGGGTCCGAGTCCCGCGTGAGGGATCATGGATGTGCACTGCTGAGTTCCACAATGGAACGAAATGGCCGTTCAGTGTTTCCAGATTTTCAATGGTAATCTAACGTTGATCGGTTCATGATCTCAATTAAAACTACAAAGAAGCCGGATATCAATAGTTTTAGCGTACAGTTTGATTGTATCGCATGTTGAAGTTTTATCACTGGAGGTCTGCACAAATCCGCAGATCAGTCAGAAACATTTTTGTGGATACACCACCATAGACGGTAAATCAAGAAATTTATACAAAGTAAACAAACATTTTTTTCAAACCAACGAGTACGAAAAGTCTCTGGTCCAAACAGATTATTACCAGTTAACTTACTCTTAACTCAGACAAACGTTGTTGATTTTCCAATAGTTTCCTTTGTTCATCGCCACGTTTAATAATAGCTTCGATTTGGTGTGGCGGGGGGTGATAATATTTACAGTGAGAAAACTTGCAGAGTTTCCTCTAAAACAAACAATTAAAGACTTTGTGAACAAATTACAGAATAGTACACATTAAATGCTAATGTGGACTAACGAATACATATGATGAGCGCTATAAAAGGTATGTCACTTGTAACTTCTTGATTGTTTACGCTGTGGCAGAATACTTTTTTGAAGAACCTGAATAAACAGTTGACCCAAGGACAGCTGTTGAAGGTCAGCCACACACGATCTATTTGCGAATAGTTTTGGGGGTATTAGCTCAGTGCTTGTTAGACCTTATGGCACCAGAAATCTTATAGGGTAAGTATGCTATCTTAAAGAAATATTTCCACCTCATATCGTTGTGAGAAAATCGAATCATCAGAGGTGCTGTTTACCTGAAAAAAACATTCTGCTTATCCCATATCCCAGTACTGTAGGCAGCAAAACTTCGACATCGGACAGTACAGTTGTTGCTTCTGGTCTGGCCACTCTCCAACCGACCTACCTATCACAGTAAAATCCCAAAAAATTCGATATAGCTCAATTAATGCACTATAATATGTAACCCCGCCTAGAATACCAATGTACAAGTTACGATAAATATGTGTACATATAAATGTAACAGTAAGGAAGATTCAAGAAGACATTACAGTCAATTTGACCATGAACACTATCCAAATATATCTCTTGATAATAGCTATATACACAACTCGAGTCCCATGGAATTGATAATTACATTTACATAGCCCACACAAATAATTCCAACAAAAAGGTGTAGTGACAAGTGATACATGATGCCTAACACCAACTTTCCTAATCGACAATACGTTTCGCTAACCATACAAGAGTTAACCAAATAGAAAATCTTTCCAGTAAATTCGGAAGCATATCATCAACGGTTCATTTAAAGAATTCCTTAAACAAACAGCCAAATTATTCGGATCACCCGACACTGCTTAACTGATTGAAACCGATTGAACAGCTCCCAAATTATCTCTACAGTAAACAAAGAAATTCCCTTAAAGAAGGATTTTCGCCACCTAATGCTCAGTCTTCTTAGAAAGTTACGTCGTAACAGTCAATCGTTTCAGTACTTCTAACGACTACATAGTATGAGCTATATATATATCACATACCATGTCAAAGAATTCCAGTGATCTAATCGTCTATGGGACATTTTGCTTCTCCAGGTCGGCTTTTATTCAGTTTCAATAAATAACATCAAGATCACAACAAATCAGTCGAAACATCACAACACAACTGGTGGCTAAACACTACAAAAACAATACAAGTGTACTAACATTGTATAACTGAACAGTACGGGCACACTCACTTTAATGAAGTCGTAACATACTGTTACATAGCCATTTTCTACTCGGACAGTTACAGGTGGGTGGGCGTAAGGACATGTACTTCCCAAAACACAGCAATGAAAGCTTGATTCATTCTCATTTTGACAGCTTGTGGTAGATGAACACTCATTTTTTGTACTAGTGTCTTCTAACTTTATAGAACATTTATTTTCAATGTCCATAGGCTCTTTCTCAGATCTGATAGTATTATTTTGCAAAGGTGAGTTAGATATTCCGAAAACTGATGTACATACACGCAGCTTAAGCCACCGTGAATCTCTGGAGCCAGAGGAAACATGGTTTGAGTGTACAGATACGGGAGATGTTGAGATTTGTTGATTAGTTACACAACTGTTGGGGGCGGAATGTAGAGAAACTAAAGATGATGATAATGAGGACGATCCTGATAAGTTAGGGCTGTCTACATTTCCGAATGTTAAATTTTGCTGATGAGCTTGCACTCGTGATGCTGGTTGGATAGAAAATGATGTGGGCGTAGACCCTGGAATATCATTTGTATTTGAGAAGCCAGCAATCGCTAATAATGGCTTTGTAAGGAATGGTATTGCAGACTGCAGAACAGTAAGATCTGGTTTAAAACATTCGTTACATTCCGATGTGGTAGTCGTGGAACAATTGTTTGGAAAAGGATTTGAAAGTGGAGAATGCCTTTCCAGAAAAAGTGAACGGAGAAAAAACATCATGTACGGTTAATGGAATTGATAACTACAGGATGAACATTCCATAAATATATTAATGATGATAACACAGGAATAGTCAGAACTCATTATCTTTGAAAAAAGTTTTTCACTCCCAACAGGTTCAGGTAAAAATAAAAAGACAATTAAAACTTGAATTTTTACTTGAGATGCATAGTATTAGGATTACTGACTGGAAATGACATTTTGCTAACTTCGTTTACAAAAGTATCACACATTATGAACACTAATCTGTCACTTAAGAGAAACTGATGTTATGTTATCTGCCTCTCAGTGCTAATGATGCCTGAGCAGGTTAATAGGTCTATAATCCCGGATCAGTCAGTCAGTCAGCTACAACGTAGGACCAGGCACATATGTGCATGAATTAAAAACCGAAAGATTATTCATTTCTTTAAGATTGTACATATGCCTACTTAATGAGTATAGTTCGACAAAAAAACAGGTATACGGTTTCCTAACTATTCCTTATAATAATCTAACAATCTAATATCAAACAAACCTTACTATTTTACTAGGATTGAAGCAAAAAATAGCCCATCTAAAGGATTTAAAATCTAAATTAATAAACGATGGCTAGTACACAGACATGAATGGATAGAATTTAGATTCACTAAATGGTTTGGTCACAACAGACTTAAAGTAGGACATGAACGCAAACATAAATAATTAAGAAATGAAAATGATTTATAACAATTAATCGAACTACCAAAGCATGAAAATTTGATATCAAGCTAAGCAAAAAAGTCTCAATCATACTAAACTAACCTTTCTACAAAAACACGGATTCGAGCCGTACAATACCGAAATCAGACTTTAAATAAAGCCACGAAATAGATGCTCGTTTTGAAAACAAATTTCGTATGTCCTAACAAGGCATGTATATACGTACCAGGTTTTACGCTGTGACTGAACAGTTGGTTATAGCCAATAATTATATATTAAAATCAAGGACAGAAAATCCCCGATCTCTATACATTCCAGTCTAAGGTTAGAAAGTGTGTAAGGACATGCCCTGTGTTGCAAGACTAAACTTAAACTATCATGAAATGTGCAGTAAATATTTCCTGATATGGTAACAATCAACTAACTAGAAATATATCTCAGAAGTGACAATTTACCTACTGAGTATTGGTTTCTCCATACAATTAGAATAAGGATTTCGAACCACTGCAATTATAATCCCGTTTCACAAATATTTGTTTCAGTGACAAATGACTAACAATGATTCCAAAGCTTAATGTTATACAGTCACTTTAGAGGATACTTTACTCGTCTGATTTTCATAAAGCCGCGTTTTTACAAAAAACAAGACGTGGACAATACGGCGTGAAAATGTTGGTCAGGGAAGGTCAGTCTTTCCTTCTCAATTGATCCTATATATAGTACCCTAGATTTACTTTTGATTTGCTGATCTAGTGATAATTGTGACGAGGTTAGTGTCGTACACAATTAAATCTAAGTCTATGTACTCGAGTCCTTACTAAAGCTTTCCTACATATGCAACCAAATTAAGAGACAAGTTGAGTGCAAATACTTGAATCGATCGACACAGACAACCGTCCACTAAGTCTGACGACAATCCTCACCAAAAATCCTGGACGATGTATGAAGTGCTCTCTTCTGCTTAGATTACTTAGCGGTATTTATCAGTCGCAATTGCAATCGAAGTAATGGATGTGTAACTTTATCGAATCACACAGTTAAGGAGCTCAAGTACTCTAAACAACCAGTACCGATGTTTTTAGTCTTTTAGGTAATAGAAGAGATTTCAGTAAATTCCATATTCTTGGTAATATGTACGCATTCCAAAGCTATCTATATCATTTCGAACCTATTTATTAGCGAAATAAAAGTATTCTGTTTAACAAAAGTTGGAAAAAGAAAGCAATATTCGTTCTTTAGTTTCACTAGGTCCACCATGTTGACATGCTGGATGCTATTATCTAAGCTTGGTATGTACATTTACCCTTTCACAGAAGAACGACAAAATTTGTTCCAAAATATTCAGCGAAGTATGAATCTTCACTATCAAAGAATCGTGATTAGGTGTAATTAACTAAAAATGGATTACTTGCCAAATTGATTGTTCTCAGTAAGTTATTTAAGACAAAAAATATTCATCAAAAAACCTCATGTAAATCAAAAGTTTGTTGTTTCAGAAAATAGATTAACCGGCTATGTAAACAATAATCCGTAGAACTAAGTGTTCTGGCATAAAAACGTTATAAACATTGGCAATAAAAGTCTGAATAATTTGAGCGTTTTAACTCACAACATGGTTATACACAAACGCAAATATCCTTGATGTAATATGGCTCAATAAATCTTAATTATCCATAAAGAGAACAACAAGAATTCCGACTTCAGCTAGCCAAATATGTGGTTAAGTCCAACGTTTATCCACACGATTAAGGTAGACGAAAATGTTTATTTGCAAAGTGGCCTCAATGGGGTCTGACCCGGTGTTTGATTGGACGAGAAAAATGTTAAAACATGCAGCACTCAATGGACCATGGACTTCAAGTGAGATATCTAGACATATCTCTATCTTTCTGATTGGCTAAAGATTCATTCGATGAACTCTCTACCTTCAATATTATTCATCTATTCTTAACTTAAATTTTACCAAGTTAAAAGTCATCCCCCTGTGTTATTTAATCACACTTGAAAGTTCAGTGTGTACATCGGACACGATTTTGCCTCTCCCCCTTTAATGAAATCAGCATCCTAGTAAGATAGTTCTATTTCATTGGTTGTATAAACCTGGTCATTAAAATCGAAATACATATGATAGAATTATTTCAATATGTTCAGATTGATGTTCTTGATTTATCTGCGTGTGTAATCCATAAGTTGTTAACATCGGTCCCGCTTAGCCTTTACAGCGGCGGCATAAGTATTATGTCATTGAACAAGGAGAAGCCATTAAGAATATTTCCAGTTCCCTAAACCAAGCTAAACATAATTATATATATGGCTAAAAAGGAGGAGAAATAGATTCGTTTTATCTTGTTACTTTAGCTTTGTTTATTAGGTAGTATAATTCTAAATGTAGGTAGATTTTAAATATGTAATCAACTCAACAAATTATATCAGACAACTTCAGGCAAGTTACAATATCGTTGTGTTCTCATAAATAATTAGATGGAAAGACAGGTACACGTTAAGGCCGTACACTAGACATGGTTTGAACACAAACTGTAGTGTATTAAATCATGATGATTTACTGTAGATTACCGTTCAATAGTTTTTGCAATAAGTTTTCAACCATTCGCCCATAAGTCCGTAGTTCATCTTGACTTAGATTGTTCAATGTCTCAGGATACTGTTGATAATGCAATATGTTACCCATAAATTACTCTTACAAAACTAAAAGTAAATACTGGATAGTTCGTTATTTGCTCTTTTATTACTTTTAAAAGGTTTATCATCAGATTATTACTGAAATCACAAACTGACCAAAGTTGGATAAGTATTGAAAACCTGGAAGCACTGGACGTCTGTTTTGTCCTACTGTTGAAAGAGGTTTGGGTTTCAAATGAAAAGAACAATTTCATATTTTATAAAAGAATACACAGTACTTGGAAGATACTTCAATTTTAACGTCCATCAGGAAAGTAAACTATAGAGAAAGTTCTATTCAGTACAACAAGTGAACAGTTCGAAATTATAACTGGTTCAATATTGCTTTACTAAATGAGCTAAAATCAAGTTGTTAACAATTTTAACTATACTTTTTCTTAATCACACTGGGAGGTGCTCGCAGGCCCAAAAATACAGGTTTCTAGAATATCAGCCAATATAAATCTCTCCACAACAGCGATTGAATTGATAAATACAGAAAGAAGTAACTAGTTTAGGTAACTTATCTTTCAATCTCGGAGTGATCATCGGAATTGTAGAAAACAATAATTGTAGTTTATCTGCATTAGAAGTTCTTTGGATTGCTCTGTGTCACTTTAGTATTGGCATTTCGCTGGGTGCATCGCCTCTAAATTGTAAGCACATATACAGTGGCTTTTTGTTCACAGTTAGGTATTCTTTATACCCTCTTTCCTTGGCTAAATGTTTATAAATTTCTCCGGATATCGACCTTTCACAGTAGTATGCGATGCAGTAGCTGTCGTCGACATCAATGTCGTCGTCGTAAGAGCAATATTAAGTCATGACAATATTTTTTACATTTATATAATTTAAATAAATCATACATACTATTATTAATGTGTTTTATTCAAATAATAATGGATCGAGAAAGATCATGTTGAAAGTAAACACACTGAAAAATAATTAGTATATATATCCTCACCATAAAGAAATGTAAACATATGGAAGAAGGTTGTTTTTGCTTTGTTTTGACCTAGATGAATAAATTATTCTTTGGTTAATAATAGTATTATACAATAATGTTTCCACTTTAACCACATCTAGAGAGCATATGGTCTTGATTCCATAATGAAGTGTCTTAATCAGGTTTCTTTTATATTGTAGAGCGACAAAACTAAGAAAGTTTGTATATAGGCCATACCAAGTGGTTTTCTTGTTTATGTTTCTTCTTAGTGATTTATCTATCCTTCTTGTAAGAAGAACATGTGAATTTTATAGACGGGTGAACTTCATTAAATCTCACGAGTGTTTCTATCAGGTTAATATGGTCGTTACAAAGGATTAACGCATCGTCTATATATCGGCAGTGAAGTGAAAAATTGTCACTCTGTTGTACCAGTGAACCGTTTTCTAGTTCAGCGAGGATAATGTCAGCCAATATGGAACCTAGTGGTAAACTCAGAGATACGATCTATTTGTCTATATGTTTCACCACTGAAGTTGAAGTTTACATTCACAGTGTATTTTAGTAATAATCTTCACTGGAATTGTAGTCTCTATTTCTTGTTCTCTAAGTTGCTCACAAATATATTCTACAGTCTCTCTGAGTGGGACATTTGCAAACAATTATGTTACGTCTAAGGACATCATCGTTTGTCCTTTAGTCTATGTTTTCGATCTTGTCGACGAACTGGAATACATCCTTGATGTTATGCTTCACTAGGTGTTTGTGAAGTGGTTTTAAAATGGTTACTAACCACTTTGCTACAGTATGATAAGGGGAATTATATATGTCCAAGCTTGGTCTCAATGGGATATTCGGTCTTTTTACTTTCGATAGTCCGTTTATCATTGGTAAATGAGTACCTATCGGCTTAGTTTTTTCGTATATGTTTGAATGAATTACCTGTTGATTTCTGAGCACTTTTAATAGATCTGGTCAGTTCATTTTCTATCTTATTACTGACGTCTTTTTGGTCATTTAGTTTTTGGAATTTTAGTTGATCAGTCAAGATTCTATTCATCTTGTCAATATATTCATTTTTTGTTAAGACGGACAGTTACCGTATCTTTATCAGGTTTCGTAATAATCAAATTTTTGTCATAAAAAAGCTCATTGATAGTCTCATTGTGCTTTTTTAGCAGTGAAAATGCTTATGTGGTCATATCTACTGTTCTTAAACTGATATTTTTATTACAAACAGTCCTAAACTCATATGTTATAATTTAAAATGATGTACTTTGCCTTAAGCCTGGACAACTTTTGGATTATTGGTTTGAATATATAATTACAGAGTTTGAAGAGAAATAATCGAAAAGAATATTCTTTGTTCATATATCTGTGTTTTAATATGATAGGAATTTTTCAGCGATTAGCATGTAAACTATCAGAACTGATCTATAAAAATCCTATACAGATACCATTGTAATGATAGTTAGCTACATTTGAAGTTTATTGATCGGATGTATAAGTTTTCTACCAAAGATTCCCCTCATGGTGGAATGTATTGGTACTCTTCTACATTCATATAGTTGAATTAAAACTCCACCATGTCAAAAGTGTCATGTTCCCTAATATTTCAAAAATCATTTCAACACTGGTAATTTATTAACATAAAAGTGAAAAGTACCAAGTTCGATAAGGTTCAACAAAAAGCCTTTCTTATGCTTCCTATCGAACTTCAAAGTTGTTGCATTAGAATAGTTCGTCAGTATCTCACACAGTCATGGCCAAAAAACAACACAAAATCAATGTTGATGGGATAATGAATTTATTCTGAGGTAAATGTCAAAGAAGATGAAATAGTTACACTATCTATAAAAAGGCCATATGATTCTTGAAATGTGAATTATGAAGAATCAAACAGCCTGAATGTTTCACTTTATATCTTTGTTTAGTTTAATTAAAGATTATAACAGTTAAAAATAACTGTCAATGAATTTTTCAAACATAAAGAAAACATATTTAATTTAGTCCGCTAAAGCTCCCAACATTGGAACTAAGCTTTAAAGATATCTGGGAAAAATCATTGTTTATTGTTTTTAAAGTTTTCTAATCTTTTAATCTAACACATATATTAGTTCAGTTGTAGTGTTCATTGATTGTTATTCCGAAAAGTTTACAGGTCTAAAATGTATCATTACAAGAACACTTATTGGATTTTTCAGGTTAATAAAGTTGGTAAACGAAATTAATAGTCTCTTGTTACTTCTCTTCTCTACATACAAATATTTAGTTAATTTATATTTAGAACAAATTATTCAGTACGAGCAATTACGATTTATTTCAAAATCTGTACCATCAGTCACGAACTAACCATACTTCAACTTACTTGCCATTGATTCTGTGAAAAGTCGTGTCCGAAAATCTGAAATCGCAATCTACTTAAAATAAAGAGGATATCGGTTTTCTAATAGGTAAAAGAAAAGTTTGCTCAGTGTGGACTGTTCAGCAGTTGAATTTTAGTGAATGTGTGATCATTTTAAAGACTGCCTGAATCTTATAGTAGGATTTACCCTGAAGACAGTTTTACCAATGAAATCAATTACCATTTTAATGAACATATACATCATCATAGAAAACTGAAATGTTTACCACTGTGATATTAGTAGTAATAACAACTAAGAAATTACGAAATGAAGAATTTGTCAAATTCAAATACCTCCTTTTGTATTCATTATTCATTGGTTTGTAATAATACTGTGTTATCTATACAAATGAGAGAGAAATCAATAAGCATAGTCATGATAACAACCTACTCCACACAAATTATTTTATGTTAGTCACTGTCAAGTTATTCTAATCCATTCACAACTAATGTTAATTTTGAAAAAAATTATTATTCCATTTGTAATCACATGCTATTGTATTCATCTCTAATGAATTAAAATCATTCTGTTGTAATGACTTGTATTTATATCAGTTTTACACGTTAACTGTCATAAATTTATCGGCACAGAGTTGTATTTTTCCACCGCTGATATCAAGAGCTCTATGTAATCGTTTTATCTTGGCATTTGTATACTATGAATAGATGTCACAACT